TTTCTTTATAGTTATATCTTAATTTGTATTTATTCTTTGTTTAATTCTTAATTGATATATTGAAGATAATATCTTTTTATTCATTTTAATGTTTTTATAACATCATATTTGATTATCTTCGATGAATATTTCAATTACTTTATTTGTTGAATTGTTTCAATAAACTCTTTTCTTTTTTCAACTTCTTTTGTTATTTATATTATTTGTGTTCTTTATTTAATAAGAAATATATTAAATATTTTCAATAATGTAGTCAATGTTGATGTAATATATTATCATTGTTATGATATTATCACTTTATTATTTCTTATTATTTTATTATTTTATATGTTTTATATAAAATATCATTTATCTTTCTTTTCTTCTTTGAGTTGTTCATTCAACTACTATTTATCATTTATAACATTTTCTGATGATATTACAATGTGCATCTTCTATTAATTTAACTTATTTATCATTTATTCATATTATTTCTTTGTTTTTCTTTCAATTTTCTTATTATTCATTTCTTTTGATAAAATATTTTATCATTCATTATATTTATTTCTTTGTATTTATTTCATTATTATTTCTGATTGTTTTGTATGTTGTTGTTATTGTTTATTTCATATTTTGAGATTGATTTTTATTATATTCTTTTTATGATTTATTATGTTCTTATCAATAAAAAAACAAAAATTATCAATGATTTCAATTTTGAGCAAAGAATTTATCTATCTTCTCTTTCTCAATTGTAATCTCTTCTTCGTTATTTGATTTCTTTTCTATTTGTGCTTTGCATTCACATTTCCTTCCATTTGAAAGTTCTCCACCAACAGTAATTGTACCATCCTCTTCAACTTTTACAACAAAAAATACAAATTGTTCTCCTTTTGGAATATTGCTAATGACATAGTGCCCTAATGATTTATCATCTTCAAATAATTCTGTTTGTACACTCCATCCAGTGACTTCAACATATAGTGGATGGTCATGTGGAATCTCTGTTCCATCTTCAACAATAGTGAGATTACCATCAACCCCTGCCATCTTGATGGGATGTGCAGTTACTTCTGTAATACTTTTAATCATTCCCGTAGAGAATTCAAATGCATATCGAGCTGCACCTTGTGATACAACCAAATTACAATCAATAGTATCATTGATTTTTGATGTTGTAAACTTGGCTTCTAATAACTCTTTGATTCTAGGAATTTGTGAACTTCCTCCAACAAGCATAACTTCTCCAATTTTTGATGGTGAGAGTTTTGTCTTCGCCAATATATCATCAACACACTTCATGCATCGGTCAAATTCTTTTTGGTTACAATCTTCAAATTCAGTTCTATCAATACTAATAATAAAATCATCATCACCAACTAATTCTGAAATATCTAGTTCATAATAACTAGTTGATGATAACTCAATCTTTGCTTTTTCAACTTCTTTTCTTAATTTATATCTTCGTTGTTTCTTTGCTTTTTTTTGTGTTCGACTGTCACTTCCTTTCAAAATAAATCTTTGTGCTTTCTTCTCATTAATTTCTTTCATTTTAGATATAACGAGTTCCATTAAATTCATATCAAAATCTAATCCTCCTAAATGAACATCACCACCAGTTGCTTTAAATTTAAACTCTTCTCCTTTCTTTTCTAATATAGTAACATCAAGTGTTCCTCCTCCAAGATCAAATGCAAGATATGTTTTATTTCCCGTACTTTCTAATCCATATGCATATGCAGCTGCTGATGGTTCAGCCAACAATCGAATTAAACTAAATCCTGCCATCAATACGGCTTTTTTGGTTCGATCTTTTTGAGAATCATCAAAGTATGCAGGAACAGTCACAACTGCTTTTAAAACTATATTGTCTCTAATATTTAATCTACGTTGAATTTCAATTTTAATTGCTTTTAACACAATAGCTGAACAATTTCTGGTTCAATTAGTTCTTCTTCTTCTTTATCAGGATAGTCAAGCACAATCTGACAATACCCATCGTCCGCTTTAACTATTTGATATGGGTAATATGTTCTTTTAATGTCTTCTTGAACTTGTTCATCGTCAAATTTCTTTCCAATAAATCTTTTTACTTCACAGATGGAAGTAGGCTTAGGAATTCCAACATTAACGGGCTGTGTGAAAAAATCAACGGTTGATGGAATTGTTGAACTTCCATTTAAGTAATTGATACATTCATATTTTTTTGTTTGAATATTAAAGAAGTGACAACAACTAAATGTCGTTCCTAAATCAATACCAACAAATATCTCTTCTTGCATTAAGATTTAATTATTTGATTAATGAGATGACTTTTCTTCCTTTAAGTTTCAATCAAAATAAACATCATTCTTAGAGGCTTATTTTACAAAAAAAATTTCTTTATTTTAAATTTTTTCAGTTTTTAATAAAAACAATAATAAATTTTAATTATTATTTTTTGAAAATCAAAAATATTATAAATAAAAAATACGTTTGATGACATGATGGTGGTATATTCAATTTTATCTTATAAAAAAATAAAATAAAAAAATAAATAAATTTAAAACAAAAAAAAAGAAATTAATTCTGATTTACTTAATATTTAGTATTTCATCATGTTAAAAAGTGAATAAATCAGTTCCTTCAACATGTTTTATATTGATTGAAATAAAATTTTTTCAATCACCCTCAATTTAAATGGCTCACCACTTAATTTGTTGTCTGAATTTTAATTTGGATTAAATGAGTATTAAAACTCTTTATTGTTTATAATGTTATTTTATGTTGAACATTTCAAAAACACTATGACTATGGCTCATCTCCTTTATCATCGACACCCCTTAAAGAATCCATTTTTCTTGATAATATCTTATATACTCAACTCAAATCTATCATTGACAAATATACTTACACATTGATAAATAATATTACTTCTGTCGTAACAAATAATCCCTCATAATAAATATTAATAAGTAATAACTAATTCAATCTTGAACGGGTCCTTATCTCACCAAAGGCATGTCATAATTGGATAATAAGTGGGAGGATTCAAGAATTGGATATATTAAGATCTCATGTGGTGTCTCCAACGTACTACTTTGAATAGAAATTTAAACAAAAAGATAAATAAATAAAAATTTTAAAAGTGTTTAATTTGTTCTATTAATGTTAGATAAGTTATTAAATTAAGGAAAAGTATGCTTGAATATTATTATCAACTCGTTAATAAACGATTTACTTTATTTTTTTAAAAAAACCAATAAAAAGATAAGCAAATAAACAAGAAATGATTGAAGTAAATCTAAATCAATTCTTCTTAAATAATAAGAATTTTTCCATTTATAACAGAAACACAAAGGGAAACAAGTAACAAATTAGTGTTTTATCGTCCATCAGTATTTTCAAGAGTAACTTTACCGTTCTTGACATTTTCAAAGATAACTTCAGCAGTTTGTAAGAAACAGTTATCAACATTAGTAGCATCACGTGCAGATGCCTCTAAGAATAATAGTCCGTTTTCTTTAGCAAATGCCTCACCTTCTTCTTTGGTGACTTGTCTATCAGGAAGATCACATTTATTACCGACAAGCATAATAGTAGTATTAGGGTTGCTATATTTTCTACACTCTTCTAACCAAATTGGAATTTTTTCAAAGGATTCTTTTCTTGAAATATCATAAACTAATAAAGCACCAGTAGCTCCTCTGTAATAACTTCTAGTAATAGATCTGAACTTTTCTGATCCTGCAGTATCCCATATTTGAAGTTTTACTGATTGGCCTTGAATTGGGATAGTTTTTGTTCCAAATTCAACACCGATAGTCAAGTCATGAATTGGTTGGAACCTTTTGTCTTGGAATTGGAGAAGAAGACATGACTTTCCAACTGCAACTTCCCCAACAATAACATATTTAAATACGTACTGATATTGAGAGTCAGCAGGTTTATTTGAATCAACAACAGGAAGAGTTTTTGTATTCTCGGTTGGTGTATTTGTATTAGAATTTCCTCCACAACACTATCTATAATAAGTTTTTCTTTAAAGTTATCATAATTATAATCTCAACAAACAGCCATTTATATCACTATTTTTGTTCTTTATTTTTGAGATGAAGAAAAAACTAAAATTTAGAACAAAAATGAAAAATTTTTTCTTTTATGTTTTATTTAAGTAGTTTTATACTTTTTTTATTTCTTGAAATTTACAAGGGTTTTAACTTAAGTTTATAGTTTCTTAATAGTTTTTTGTTTTGGAACAAATTAGAATATTCTTTATATGGTTTATTCTTCAATAACAAAAATTAATAACATAAATATTTATTTTTGAAAAACAGAATTTAGATTGAAGTTTATCAAGCTGGTTTTATTTTTAATCTCATCAGAAATCTTTGAGTTATAGCTTTTCAAGAAAGGAAGACTGTTATACAAAAGCTTCATTCTCATTTTTGTCTTTCTATTTTCTAAGTTAAACATGAATCATAATGAATAAAAAAAAATTGATGACATTTTACCGAGATTTTTCTTGAATAAAGATGAAATGAAAAAGGCGAAACGAATAAATAGTTACTAATTGTAAAAATAATTGATTTAAATTATACATTATACATGATATTATTGATTACTTTACAATTTTTAGGCAGAGTGAAATCGATAGAATTCCGAATGATATTAGTTAAATATCTATTTATTCTTTCGCCTTTGATGATAATATCTTCTCGAGAAGATATAAACTTGCCATTATAAAAAACTTCATAAATATTTTCCATTATTAAAGCACCTTTCTTACCACTACTTTTCTTTGTATTAAAGAAATAACCAAATGACTCTAAAATATCTCTAAGAAGATCAAGTCCAATCGTGTGTTTATTATTTTCAAACCTTCTAATTGCTGTTTTATGTTCTAGTCCTTTTTTCATTTCTAAAGTAAGAATCGATTCACATTTTTGTTTAACAAGAGATGCAAATTTAATTTCATCTTGTTTTGGGAATATTATTAATTTAAGTGTTAAAAATTGTAATGTTTTTTTACTAATTTTAAATGGTTTTTGAAATACTATATCGCATTGATCATTTAATAATCCAATTAAGAATGCTTGTTGTTGCGATTGATAATTTCTTACTTTCGCAAATTTTTTACTATGAGGGTGTTCCATTTTTGATATCTAATAAATAAATACTAGTTTTTTGATTTAATTCAATTTAGAAAAAATGATTTAAATTTTTTCTTATTTTTCTAACGAATAAACTAATTTCATCAATTTAATAATAAAACAACAAATAACTTCATTTAAAAACATGGTTTTAAGAAAAAATTGATAAAAAAATGAATTAACTATTAATAGAAGTTGTATCTATTATTCCTGGTTCAGGGGGAGACTAATCCTTCAATGACTCTTCATCATATAGTTCAACGACAACGTTTAGTTGTTTGTAGAAACAGTGTTCCATGATATCCATCATATTTTTAATTATATAATTTTTAACTTCCTTTATGATATTAATTTCAATATTCAATTCTTTAATTAGTTTAACACTTTATGTATTTACTAGCCTTTATTGAAATTATTACTGGAATTATTTTGACATCTTTAATTTATCTATTTTAATTAGTATATTCTTCATTTCATTATACATATTTCTTTTCTTCAAACATACTCCATTATTATTGTGATCTATAACAATGGTCATATCAAATAATAGACCATCGTTATTCTCCTTATTTATTACATATATCTGGTATTTTATGATATTGTTAATCACTTTTTGATACACTCGATCTCATGGTGATATCATTGTATTTGAACGTTGTTTCATATGGAGATTTTTTTGTTTGATTATATCTAATATGATAATACTAATATTATCATGTTTCTCATTTTGGAATTTTTTTATGACAAATACAAGATAATAGAATATATTCTGCTATTAATATCTTGTCTTTACAAAGTAGATAGTATTTTATTCATTTTTAATATTTTATTTTCCTGTACACATTGAATATTACTCCATCTTATATTTTAGTTAAATGAATAACTTCATTCTTTTTAATATTAATGGATTCAATGAATTGATTGTAGTAGTTTTATCTATAAATTTTGAATTAATCCATCTTCTAAAATATCCACTTGTTTGATTTCAATTTTTTGATATATTGTTTATCATTATTTTCTTTATTTTTATTTTCAATCATTTCTTTGATTATTTGTTTAACTTCTTTGTGGGTTGTTCATACTTCTTTATTGTTTTATGTCGTTATTCTCATTTTATTCATTATATAATATATGATTTATATTATTGAACTTATATTCACTGATTTGATAAATTATTTTTATTTTGATGATGATAGAGTTGATAATGAATCATAATGTAAAATTCATCATTTTAATATATCATTTATTTTATTATATTTATATCATATGATTATATTTATCATATTTTATACATTATCTATGTTGATTCATTCTATATTAAATTATTTTAATATTTCTATTACTTGTTCATGTTTTATTGAGTTATATGATTTGTTGATATCATAATATGAATCTATATATTTTGTATATTTATCTTCTTTCTGTTAATTTAATATATAATTATTAATTATTAATTCTTTATTATCAATAAATTATAATTTACATCATAATTGGTTTTTAATAATTTTAAATGATTCATTAATCATATTAATTCTATTATGAATATTATCTTTTAATAATGATATAAATATTTTCATAATTATATTTATACAATTGATATGATGTTAATTAATAACATCATTCATATCACTTCATTTATTGATTAATAATGTTCTTCGATTTACCATATTTAATTTGATGATTTCATTGAAATTTAAACAATCATTAAATATATTAAGAATATATTCTCTTCAATTAATATAAATATATAATATCAATTCATGATGATTTCTAGTTATTTATTTTCATTATAATTAAATTTAAATCATCTAATGTGATGATGATATTATCATAATTTCTGTATCTTTCGTTCTAAATTATGATTTGTTTTATTTTCATTTATTTTAATTGATTGTTGATAATATTAAGATATTCATTATCAATACCAATGGAATTATTTTTTATATTGACGTTTTTTATTATTGAATTACATTCTATTTTCCATGATTGAGTTCATTTTCATTTTGATATATATTTTAGTTGTTTATTTTATTCTATGTGATATTTTAATATTATCAATATATTCTTTATCATTATTTCATTTATTATTTATTATTTTTATTATATTTCTATTTGTTCATTTTTTTATTTTCTTATTTATCAAATTAATTCAAAACAATACAATATATCAATTAAAATTATATTTGTTTGATTTGTTGTATTTTATTTTCTTCTTGACTGATTATTATTTCTTGTTTTTGATATTCAATGTTTTGTTCTCCTCTTCTATTTCCAGAATTGTCTTTTTCATAATAGTAGTTTTGTTCATTTGTATTGTCCCAGATGATGATGTTGTTGTTCTCAGTATTGGTTGTGTATTTATCATTAATGTCATTTTTTCTTCTTCTCTATTTCTGAAATAAAAAATAAACAATAAATTGTTGATGATTTGATATTAATTGATTTTGTTCTTCATTTTCTCTTTGTGTATTGTCTAATTCTTCTTTTGTTTTTTTCTTCAATCTCATAGTTTTCAATCGCACCTTTTTAATATTCAATGATTTGTTTTTATTTATCTCTTATGTTCTTCTTCAGTACTCTTCTCCAGCTCAGCACCTTTAAGGACCTCGTCCTTCTCCTTCTTCAGCCTCTCATAGCTAGCTCGGAGCATGAGGATGGTTTCATCCTTGCCTCCTACTTCTATGATCCTTCTAGCTTCTGCTTCATTTGTTTTTGGTTGTAATGTATTATTTTATTATTTTAATTTTTCCTTCTTATTTCATTATATGTGGTTTGAATCTTGTTTATTTGCTTCCGTTTCTTCTATTTCTTTCTCAAACTCTTTCCTGACTGTTTCTCGTGCTTTTTGAATAATTTCATTTGATGGTTCCTCTTCTTTTTTGTTTGAAGTTCTTTAATAGTTTCTTCTAATTCTTTGATTTTATTTTTAGGTGTGTTGATTTCTTATTTGTTGCCTTCTTCCTTTTTTATTCTTTATCTTGTGTTTTCTATTTATTTTCTTTTTCATTTATTATTCTTGCAGTTTTACATCTATCATTCATTTCTTTGATTGGATTTTTGTTTTTGATTTCTTCTTCGATTGTTTTAATATCATCACTTGTCCAATCTTTTGTTTTATCTTTGAATTCTTCTTTGATTTTCTTTATTACTTTATTGTTTCTTATTGAATATACTTATTGTAGAGTACTAACAATCTCTTTAACTTAGTATTTTTTTTTTTAATTATTTCTTCTTATTCTCCTTTCTCCTATTCACTTGTTATTCTTTTGTCTTCGTTAATATTTCTTTTACAACTATTATGCATTTTATTAACATTGGAGTTCTTTCTTTTCTTTGAAATTGAATGCATTTCTTGTTTGATTTTCTTTACAAGACTCTATGGCATTACTCAATAGTCATGACAACAAAATTTGTTGTATATTCTGAATTGATAAAAGGAATTTTTTATGAAAAAGAATATTAACAAATCCAAAAAAACAAAAATATTTAAAAAATAAAATTAACAAAGAAAAAAAAATTAAAGAAAACTAAAAAAAACAAAAAAAGAAATTTAAAAAATGAATTTGGCAGTTGAAACTAATGAAATTTTAAATGAAATTCAAAATACATTAAAAACAGTAGTAGAAATAGTACAAAAGAATACGATAAACGAATATCAAATGGTGTTAATATTAACAGAAAAGAAAATAACATTTTATAAACAATATCCACCTAATATAACAGCATTACAACAAGTAATATCGATATATTTATTATTTCTTCACAACCCAATGATATCAGATGTAATTGTAAATTCAATAAATAAAACTATTTTACTGTTACCAAAAACAAAATCAAATCAATTATTTCTTGAACGATTTCTTTTATGTTTACTTCCAATTTCATTTAATAAAAAACCACAAGTAATTCAAAATATAGTTCATTTAATTAATAATATTCCTCTTATGCAAATACTACCTTCAATAACACCATTAATGAAAAGTGATTTATCAGCTTCTGAATGTTTTATTGATGTTGTTTTAACAACTATTTCAAAAGCAAAAACATATGATGATATTTCTGTTATTGATAACACAATAAAACAATTATTATTTTATCTAACACCATCAACAAAAAAAAGAGCATCAAATGAATTAAGAACAGTAACATTTAAAATATTTCAAGAAATTATTGTTAATCACTATTCATTTAATATTCTTAATTCAATGAAAGAATTATTTTTTTATGACCTTCCATCAACATTATTTAAATATCTTCTTTATCCAATTATTTTTAAAGATTCTTTCTCTCAACAATCAATTATTTTATTAACTAAATTATTTTCTTTGGGGATTAAAGATTTAAAAGGTCAATTTGAATGTTATTGGACTTATTTATTAAATGCTTTAGATTTTGTTCTTCATGAAAATGAAGAGGTAATCAAATTTCTTACTATTGAAAGTACTTGTGAAATTATTTTTACATCGTTATTAACAATTTCATCTTTACCTGGTTTTGGATTACTTTTATTTAATAACTATGATTGTGATATATTTAGTAGTAATCTTCTTCAAGACTTTCTTCAAACTTTAAATTCTGTTGGTTCTTTAAAACCTACTCCAAAAAGTTCTAAAATTCAATTATTTTTTGTTCAACTATATATGCAAATATTAAAAAGTCTTAGATATAATACTTCTTCTAATAATCATATTAATATTGATATTATTAAAAAACAATTTCATTATAAACAACTTGTTTTAAATATGTTAAAAGAAGATATTTCTATTCCTCAGTACTTTAGCATTTATTCTAAAATAACATCAGAAACAGAAAATATTGCTTCAATGATTTATCATCTTCCTTTAATTGATCGTTCTAAAATAACAAAATACCTTTTCGATAAAAATAACAAGAGAGAATGTTCAATCTTCTTATTATTATGTTGTGGAGATGATGTTTTAGAAAGTTTTTTTGAGGTTTTAAGAAGAATAAATATTCCAGATGATATATTAATGAGAAAACAATTAATAGAAGATTGTTCACTTCTTTTTGCAAATAAGCATGGAGAAACAGAAGAAAGTGTATTAGAAGAATATAAAGAAATGTTTGGATTAACATTAGAATTATATCAAAAATATTGGAATGATAAAATGTTTTTAACAACAGAGTCATTAAAAAGATATGCAAAAAGTGTTTCAAGTAAAATAGTTGATAATGGAATTCAAACTATTGTAGATGGAGTTTTTAAAAATTGTCCATATTTTATTAGTACCACACCACCAATAAAACCAATGAGACATATTAAAAGATATTTATTTACAAAAGAAAAATTTTGTAATACATGGAAAGATGATAATCAACTTGAAATTATTTTAGAAGTATTTGAAGAATGGTATAATTCAACATCTAATGAATGGCATAATTGGGATGTAACAATTACCCAAAATTTAGTTGATGGAAATTCATTGTTGGCAAGTTATTCAAGAGAAAATCAAAGAAGTACATTTATTCAAAAAATATTATTATGGGAAATGAAAGAGTCTGAAATATTAGACCAATATGATATTCTTCTTAATTCAATAAAAAGTTTAAAAGCAATTGTAAGATTTGCAGAAATATTAGTTACAAATTATGAATATATTAATGAATGGAAAGATATTAGTGAAGTATATGCTATTTTAATTAGTAATAATGTAATATCACCTAAAGACACTATAAAAAATACTAAAAGAATTATAGCAAGTGTATTTAAAAGAAGAAAAACAATAAAAAGAAAAATACAATCAGTTGATACAAATAAATGTGTTCAAAAAATTATGAGTGTTATTCCATTAAAATTAAAAGGTGAACAAATTAATGGATTTTTAATGGCAATTTTAAATAATCTTGTTAATGAAAAAAATGAAACAATGATTAATTCTTATCATATCCTTATTCAACATATTGTTTGTCTTAATATTAATAGATTAGAAATATTTTGGGAACAATTTTTATTATCTGTATTGTCTTTTTGTTTAAAAGAAAATGGAATTAATAATGGTAAAATTGTATTAACTTTTGTAATGTCATTAATTCCTTTTTTCTTTCAAAAATATATTTCAAAACATACTCTTGTTTCTTCTTTCTTTTTATTTGTTGCTTGTCTTGATCAAAAACATTTTGAATTAATAAAAGATAAAACAAAAATTATGTTTGATCTTTTATTTAGTTATGTCTCTTCTATTGACCAACAAAGTATTCCTTCCTTTATTCAAATGTGTTTAAAAAAATATCCTGAATCTTTTGTTGTTTTAACAAGACCTTTTATTACAATTACTGATCAAATTACTTTACAAATTATTATTAAGGATATGAAAAATATTTACGTTGTTATTGGTACTTTAGATTATTTTGAATTTAGTATTATTGTTATGAGAAGAATCTTTTCTTTTGCTCCATTTCCTTTTCATCCTGCTGTTCCTTTATTTCAAGAATTATGTGATGTTGTTAAACTTCAATTTGATTGTGTTCTTTCTAAAAAAGAAGGTCCTGAAATTTTTAGACAATTCTTTACTACTTCTCAAATGATTTTTAAATATTATTCAGCTCATATCCCATCTTCTTTTTATCTTGTAATGGTAGATATTGCTTATAAAAAATCAATAGAATTTAAAGTTTGTTCATTTCTTTTTATATCTTTTTTTTAATTTCTTTCTATCTTATTTCAATTACTTATAACTTTAGGTCGATTCACTTCATAAGATGTATTTATTAACTTTTATTGTAAGATTTTTTATTGATAATTTTAAACGAATAGACTCTATTCATAATGCATCTACAATCCCAGATTTTATTTCTTTAATTATTCAAATGACAGATATTGATGATGAGAATTCAAGAAAAAATTCTAGTTTAATGTTAAAAGCATTCTTTACAATGCTTAAAAGATTTTATCCAGATAGAATTGATTTATTAAAACAAATGGAAGAATTAAAAAAGACTCTTCCAAGTCAAATTAGTTCAGAATTAGATCTAATTTCTCTTCATGATGATTTTTCTCCTAATGCTATAATGATAGACGATGATATGTATGCATCTACTCCTCGAAGTAGTTTAGATTTAAATCGAAATGATATAAAAAAGTCATAATTTAATGATTTTGTGTTAATTTTCACTTTAATAAAAATAAATTCTATAAAAAAAGAAAAAATAAAAATAAAATAAAAAAAATTTGTTTCCTTTCATATTAAAACTCATCACCATGAATAACAAAGGAATATTACCTTCTTTTAATGATGTTTTTTATGGACTAAAACCAGACTTAGTTACTGCAACTTTGAAGTATTATATCAGAGGTATTAATTCTTCAGAAGAACAACATAAATATATTGAAGCAATTTTCAATGGTTTTGCTGTTCGTAAGAAATTACCTGAGTTGTTACAACACCTGGTAACTTCAGAAATTTTAGAGTGTGTAACTACACCTTCATCAATGTTTAGAAGAAATTCAGTTCAATCTAAAGTTATTAAATATTATACTGATCTCGAATTTAATGAAATGTTTGATACATGTATTTTTCCAGCTATATCAGAAATAGTATCAGAAGATATTACATTAACCATAGACCCAGAAAGTGATAAATTTGAGACTTCTATTATTAAGATGAAAGAGTTACTTGAAGGGATTTTTTTAAGATTATTTTCTTTTAAAATGATTCCAGATTCGTTTAAGTCTTTTATGACATACGTTAGTAATGAAGTAAATAAGACCTCTCCATCATTACAACTTGTTAGTTTAAAAAATATTATTTTCTTAAGAAGTATCTCAAATTATTTTTTAAGATGTACTGAAGATAGTTATCATCTTATTTCTTTAAAAGTCCTTTCAACTGTTTTTCAATGGATCATAGGAGATTCACAAATTACTCATTCAGTTTCTGCTGTTTCATCACCTCAAATATGTCTTCCTTCAGAAAAACAAGATTGGAAATCTTTTCTATTCCCATTTGCTGCTGATATTCGACCTAGAGCTAATGAGTGGTTGTTCACATTAAAGAATGATATTCCTTTTGATAAAGTAAAATTTAAATGGGCTTTAAATTTAAAAGAGACAATAGACATTGAAGAAGCTGTATATAAAAAATCAAATGAAATTTCAGAATTTCTTGATACAGCATCTGCATCAGTATTAGCTATGTTAAAAGAAAAGAAAGAAAGTGATGTTGTGTCTCAATATAATGAAATTTTTCAATTGTTACAAACTCAAATCACAAATAATAGTATTACAAGAATCAAGTTGTTAACTGAAATCTCAATCTTACAAGAAAAAAATAAATGTTTGCTTTATTTTAATCATTTGACCTAAGAATATCATTTGATAGATGTAGTGCTTGAAGAACGTTTAAAAGAATTTGAAGAAGAAAGTCAACAAGAAATTGAACAGATCCAGAAAGAAGAAAATAGCAAAAATACAGATTTGTCTCAAGAAAAAATGATAAAAGAATCAAAATTTAATATTAATATTTCTGATCAAACAGTTAAACCATCTAATTATCTAAGTACTAGTGTTGAAGAAGAAAAAAAGATTGGAAAAAGAAATGTTTTAAGTAGGGTTTTACGTTCTTCTATGAGAGAAGATAAATAAAAAAAATAAGTGCATCATCAATTATACATTTTTAATTCACTAAATTACAAATTCATGTTTCTTTATAAAATATTATTTTTTTAGATTAAAAAGATAAAATGACTAATTCATAATGAAAAGGAAATATTCCAGTGACAAACTTATGTGATAATTCATTTTTATTACAGGATTATTTTAACCGTGAGACTGTGTTCTTGAGATTTCGTTTTTGTTGTTAAAAAAAAAAAGGAAAGTGTATTAAGAAAAATATATTAAATGAGTTTTTTATTTGTCATTTCTTGAAACAAAACCAACCTACACTCAGAACATTTCACTTAATGTCTTCTCAACCAGTCTATACTCAACCCCAATATGTTGCTTATCCATCAATGGATCAATATGAACAACAACAGTACGAAGTCCCTCTTGTTCCACAATCCCTTTATGTTCAACAAATGCTTCCAGTTCAAGAAAACAAAAAAAGTGAGAAACATCCAATAATTGGATTGTTTTTCTTCCTTGGCTTTATTTTTCCGTTAATATGGTTAGTTCAAATCATTATATATGCTTTTAAATCAAACCTTCATGTTAAAGTTTGGGGTCTTAGGGCATTGTGTGCATTTTTGTTTTATTGTTTACTCACACTTGTTGGTTTCCTTATTCTTTTTGGAATAAATTTAAACCAATGCTATGAACATCGTTATCATTAGTTCGTTATATTTTCATAATTTTATTGTTTTCTTTTTTCTTTTTCTTTTTTTAAAGAACTATCAACTTACTTTTTTCTAGTTTTATTGATCAGTCAGTACAATAATATGTTAATAGAGGAGAGTGTTTTCCCTATGCATATTAATATTTGAATATATTCGTTAGTTTTTAATAAGTGTCATATAAGTATTATGATAGGGTATTGGTCTTGATAATTTGTTATTCAGTTAGAATTAGATAATTATTTCAATTTAATACGCTCTTCTATCAAATATTATGTCACTATTATAACGTTATTTTTTTATGGTATTAAAAATTGGTTGTACAAATCATTTAATTTATTATAAGTAACTTTACACTTATTTATTAAAACATAATCATATTACAATGTTATTTTAATTCGTTACCTTTATAATTTAAAATAGTGTGAAAGAGTAAATTGATTTAACTGTATCACTCCATTATCTTTTAGATTAAGTTCTTGTTAACTGTTTAATGAGCATTGATTTATTTTGAATAAGAAAAATAAGAGAATAAAATCAAAATGATTCTTCAATTAAAATGCAGTCAACATGATGATTGCTAACAACCCAACAATGGCAAGTGCATTACTTCCATCTATTGATGTTTCTTCACTTTTACTTTGTTCATCAGATTCACTATAAACTTCATTGTTAGGTGTTGGAACACCTTCAGCTTCAAGAGTCATAGCATTAATTTTGAATGTGATTGGTTCGTCTGTTGTTTCTATTCTTTGTATGGAGAATGTTTGTAATGTATTTTTTTCATCTTCATAACTCAATGGAACATAAACTTTAGTAGCAATTCCAGACTTAACTATATAGTCATATGGTTTTAATTCAGTTTCTGTTTGTTGGTTGTAGGCAGATGAGAATAAACGTGTTCTAAATCTCATTGTTTTAACTTGGTCTGATTTGAAGTATATTTCATATGAAAAGAAATTTGAAGCAGACGTATCAATGCTTGATGTTCTTTGTACATAAATAGTATCCCAACAACGA